GCAGAATTCTCAGTATTTTCAGAATTCTGAATTAAGAGATCGTCATACTGCGTCATCCACGTGACTTCATTATGACTGGTTAATTGCTCTGTTGACAATATATAGGAAAAAATGATAGAATAAAATAGCTTTACTTCTTTATTATAGGATCAGGAAGCACAAAAAAGTCTTATATTATTAATTTAATTATTAATGTACTTAATCAAAGACATTCAAAATTCCTTATATTAGATCTAACTAGAATAGCTACTTAAAATATAAGTTAGAGAATAATCTATTTAGCATTATATATTATATCATCTTCAAAAGGTTTTTACATATATGTTTTCATTAATAAAGAATTAAAGAACTTTTTAAAAACTATAGATACTATTATCATTGATGAGATTTTTATGATTTCTGTAAAACTATTTAATTTTATTCTAATATTTTTGTATCTCTTTATAGTAATACTGTTATTTTTGATGGTATAAATATTATAATAGTTAGTATTCTTGCAATTTTCTCCTGTAACTGGATAAAATATATTTTGAGCTATTACTTGAACTTTATTCTATTATCTTTTCTTAAAAATTCTACAATATTAACAGGCAAACATAAGATTTTTAAAAAATACCTAAAAAATACTATTCAGAATTCTTGTCTTATCCTGCAATTGATATACTTTTTAATATTACTAATATTGTAAATTTTAAAGAAAATATACAAACAATCAATAAGATGATTTGTAATATGCTTCTTTTTTCATATAATTATTTTTATATCTTATAAGCATCAGGCTTTGTTAGTTTTACAGATTGAACTCTTTCTTATCTGATAAGATATTTAAACAAAAACAAATTTTTCATTAAGTGTACATTTGCAAATAAGTACTTGTGTCATATATTTTAATAATTTATTAATTAATCAAAATAAATGTAATAGTACTGTAGATATGATTATAGATGTAAATATAGCAAATAAATGCATTTGTATTGCTTTTTCAGTTTGAGATTCTATTTTTTTGAGATGCGTTTACCTGAGTGTCAAAGTTTGAATGAAGTATAATGACAAGGGTCAGCCACCTGAGGTCTCACCATTAATTAAAAGCAAGTGCAACCTTATTATATATATTTACCAATAGGTTATCATTTAATTTATAGTCTACGTTACCTGAATTTGACCTTAGAATCTGCTCACTAAACTTCATTAGAATTTTCATATATTAAATTTAGATAGAGAGTTCACTTCAGTCACAATAATTGATAGTTACTGTTTTACCAATCTAATTTATAGGAGGTTTACCTATTAATAACTTCTAAGATTATGGGATTGGATTCTTTATATAAATGGTGACTTAATACCTATAGTATTAAATACACCTAGAAATTGAACTTAGCCTCTACCTTTAATAATAATGTGATCTGATCTAGAACTGCAACATGCAATACAGCTTATTATTTCTGATACACTTCAGATTTACTAATTACTGATTAACTACTTTCTTATTTGTATAAAAGCCTCTAAGTTTGAAGATATGAGATAGTATTTATTACAGACCTATTAGCGAAGACCAAGTTTCTATTGATTTTTAGCTTTATTTGCATCTACATGTTCTTCAAAGTTCAGTATTTAGGCATGATTAATACTGATCAATAGATCGATTAACTAGTTTTAAATGTATATTAGTCTATACATCTATGTATTCAGTTACAAATGAAATTCTTATGAAAATCATCTAGTTTTATATCTCAGCTGAGACCTGAATTTGTAGCTATTGCAATGTAACCTATAATAGTTGTTACCAACTAAATTAGAAACACCAATTTCTTTCAGTTTGAGATTTTATAATATTTATAAACAAACTCATTATTTTAATATAAATAAAAATAACTGTTCCTGCTCACAATTTTTCTTATAGAATTCACTCGCCTTAATAGTTTATAAAACTCAAGGATTAACCTTACCAAAAGTCTTTCTTACATTAGATGAAAACATTTTTGCTTTTGGTCAGACTTATATTATGCTTAGCAGGTGCTCTACTTAGAACAATGTTGAGATATCTTATCTTAACAAATCAGCTTTCATGATTGATCCTGAAGTTATTTTAGAATACTAAAGATTGGCTACTATTTCAAAGACAAATCTTCATACATTTCACAATTTCTTACATAATTCAATTAAACAAAATTAATAAAAAAAGGATAGTATTTATTTAAATTAAAATATATATGATTTATATTATAATTGAATGATTAAATATAAAAAAATAAAATAATGAATTATTAAAAAAATTGCTAAAATCAAATAAATTTATCAAATAAATTACTTTTATTTAAATTACAAAATTAATATGTAATACAACCACAATCATATTAATCTTATGATCATACCAGTTAGCTGATGGATACTGAAAAATATAACTAGTGATTTTTAAAGATAAATAAATAAATAATTATTATAAAAAAAATTAAAATTTTAAACTCATATCTTGCTATCTATCAATCTCAGAAATATAAAAATACTACAATTTAATAGATCTTAATATGATGATGAATCCAATAAATTAAATTTTATATTTTGTAATTATTAGATAATAAATTATTTTTAAAAATCGAAAAATTAATTTTTACTAACCTAGATATTAGCGTAATCTTCACGTGACTCATAGACACTCCTCGTGACTCGAGAACTTATAAGATTATCAGTAAAAAAAAAAATTTTTTTTTTTTTGCTTCAAGAATTTGTTAAAATGTATTCGGGACTTACCCGAAGGATAATATCACAGGCACAGAAAAATGTCTTGGTGTGTAAAATGTTGAGACTCTAAAAAGTTGAAAAAAATACATAAAATTGAAAATAATATTTACTAAAAAAAAAAAAAAAATTTTTTCCCTTGAAACAACGAAAAAGCATTCAAAATTCGGTGATAATGTGTTCCGCTGCTTACAAAATACAGCTCCCATGTTACCTATAACTTTATCTAATAAATATAATAGATATCAATCCACACAATCTTCAACCTCGGCTGTTGAATACAAACTTACGCACCCTCGTAAAAAACTGCCACCTTTGCCGAAAATTGCTCCACCAACGCCATCAGCTGAAGAAGCTGTTAACAATATTTTATATAATACTCCTTCACCTCCTCCTTCACCTCCAAAAAGACATATTTTAAATTGCCTTGTACAAAATGAGCCTGGTGTATTGAGTAGAGTGAGTGGTATTTTAGCCGCAAGAGGGTTTAATATTGATTCATTAGTCGTAGCCAGTACAGAAGTAGCTGATTTAAGTAGAATGACAATCGTTTTGCGAGGACATGATGTGGTAATCGAACAGGCCAGAAGGCAATTAAAAGATTTGGTGAGCATATAAAATTTTTTTATTTGATAGTGAAATATCATTTTAATTATCCTTTTTTTTTATTATTTTATTTTATAGGTTCCTGTATGGGCTGTTCTTGATTATACTAATACGACGATTGTTGAACGGGAATTGTTATTGGTTAAAGTATCAATTTTGGGACCCGAACATTTACATGAACAATTAGCAGCTATTAAACATGAGGAATATGATGATGAATTTATGCCTGAGGCAGATTTAGAAGCGGAGGTATTTTTTTAGTTTAAAGGACAATTTTCTAATAGGATAATTTCTAATTTTTTCTTTTATTTTATAGAACCTTGGTGCCACTATTCTGAGCACTGATCCTCTTTTCATGGATGATCAAACAAGACTGTCTCCATCAGCATTATTAAGACAAAAATTCGCTCATTTACACGCATTAAATGATTTAACTAAACTTTTTGGTGCTCATATACTAGACGTTGCTAATGATAGTGTTGTAATTGAATTGTCCGCAAAACCTACTAGACTTGATGCATTTATTAAATTGATCAAACCTTTTGGTATCTTGGAAGCAGCAAGAAGCGGTAATTAATAAAAGTTTCACCATTTTTTTTTTTTTTTTTGCATCATTGATTCAATTATCAATTAACCATGGCATAATTATATGGTAGGCATGATGGCACTTCCGCGAACTCCACTTCATGATCATGAAAAGAATGATTTAGAGGAAGAGAGTGAAGACAGCGGTGTGGATGCAACCATGCTGCCTCCTGGCTAATAAATTATTTTGTACAGAAAGATATTAGATTCATCTTCCGGTAAAAAAAAAAATTAAAAAAAAAAAAATAAAAAAATAAAAAATTATAATAATAATAATAATCTTAATCATAATAATAATAAAAACCAAAAAAAAAAAACACAAAAGTTGGAAAAAAAAAAAAATTTTTTTTTATTACGGATTTTCATAGGTTTATTTTAACTGGATTCTTAGTCATAAGAAGTGATTTGAAAGATATAGCTTAATAATTGTTCATTATTATTTATTAAATATAAAACGAACAATCAATCACAAAATTATTATTGTATATTACAAAAGAAAAAGATTCTTTTTTATAATGTTTTTTACGAATTGAAACGTAAGGAAAAATAAAATTGATTTATTGTACATTTATGGGTAAGTCTGAGAAAATTTCCTTTTTAAAATAAAAATCTCAAACTTATTTCAAGATAAATAAAAATCCCAAAATAATAAAACATGAAATAAATTAAAAGACAAAGAATGAACTTTTTTTTTTTAAAAAAAAAAATGTTTCTGTTAAACTTCAAACTTTCTTTTTATTTTTATTTTTTTTCAAGATGATAATATACTATTAATATAAAAGTTCGCATCGTCATAATGTTGATTTAATTGTTCATTTGACATAATTAATGTAGAATCGTCCTCCTCGTCCTCCTCATCTTCTTCGTCTTCCTCATTTTCAACTCCTTGTTGAAATTCGCTTATCATTCGTTCAAACTCTCCACTTGCAGAGACATGATTTAGGAAAGGATGCTAATAAAATAACGATAATGAGCACATTATAATAATCATTATAGTGAAAAATATTAGATGACTAACCTTGAGCAATTCTTCCCCTGACTTTCGTTTTTTAGCATCAATTTCTGTACATTCTGCGAGAAATTCTTTAAATAATTCGGACCATTTCTCAGGATTGCATAATTCTGGAACACCATATCGGGCGATAAGTTCTATGGCCTTTGTTAAACAATCATATTATTTAATGTGATATTAAAAATTAATACAAAACAAAATTTTAAAATACCTTTAATGGTGGATGTTCATCCATATATGGTGGACTACCTTCCGCCATTTCTCTTAACAATATGCCAAGGCTCCAAATATCAACCTGTAAAAAGATAACGTCAATGACCAAATATATCTTAACCAACTTTATACAAATCATATTACAAACCTTAGTATCATAGTTATTGCACTTTATAACTTCAGGGGCCATCCAAAAAGGTGTACCTATGAGTGAATTTCGAAAAGGATATTTTTCTGTCAATTGTACAGAATATGTGAAATCCGCTACAAAGTTATATTTTATAAATATTAATAATCAACGCGTTTGAAACATAATAAATGATCCTTCTCAACTAAAATATTCTTCTTTACCAAGTTTAATATCTCCTTTAGCATTCAATAAGATATTATCACTACGAACATCTCTGTGAATACGACCTAAACTATGTAAACGCGTGAGAGCCTTTAATACCTCTCGAGCAACTCGCGCTATGTGAAATTCACTCATTCTGTGACCATCTTCATATAATGATATCAGATCTGCTAGTGATACTTCCATGTATTCCATTACCACCTATAATAAAAACAAATAAATAAATAAATAAAAAAAAAAAAAATTTTTGTTTTATTAACTAACCCATATGGAATCATTTGTATAATAACATCCGATACACTCTACGATATTTGGATGTTTACTCTTTTTCATCATAGACAATTCATTCTTAATTATTTCTAGTTTATTAGTACTCGTAAATGGTATTATTTTAATAGCAACCTGTAAATTAAAAAGGGCCAAGTTAATGATTTATTTAAATATTGCAAAAAGTAAAATTGAAAGTTGAATGTTTACCACGTTTTCCGAATTCTTTTTGTTTGCTGCATATATGTTTCCAGATTCGCCTTCGGCTATCATATTTAAATTGGTGAAAATCCTACTTGGATCACCCGTTTCCAGTATGTCAGCTAAAATAGAATAAAAAAAAAAATTTAAATATTTGATAGATACAGTTTTCAAGAAAGGAAAAAAAAATAATATACCAAGGTGTTTAATTTCATGTGGTAATGTTTCGGGATTAATTATAAACTTGGATACATATTGTCGTTCATTTTCCATACTAAAATGTTTAGAAAAATTTGAAGACCGATTTATATCTGAAAGCGATGAACATTTCCGTATTATTTCTGAAGACTTTAGCATTTGTGTCTTTTCTGTATTTAATGATAAAGAAAAATAAAGAAATGTTCGTAAAAGAAGAAAAGAAGTAGGTAAAGAAGAAGAATATATTTTGCATCGAACCATTATTAATCTGTGACGAATGCTTATAAGGTTTTGAGGAATTGTCCCTTATTCCCGATGAATTTGGTGTTATATCTAAACCATTTGTTAAACATTCTATTGATTTAAATTTTTTACTTAAAGTCGCATCATTTGTGGACTTGGTTACATTTTGTGTACAAGTTAACTTATCATTTAACATTGGATTGTCCAAAATAATTTGCTCTCTACTAGAATTTATCGATTCACTCGATGAATTCCTACTATTTGTACTACCTATGGAACCTTCTGAGCTATTAGAAACAGGACCTGAAACCAATTTATTGGAAATGTCTTCTTGATTATTGTATACAGCAGTTCCAGGAACATTGGAATTTCGCATCATTGTTGATGAATTAATACTATAAGAATTTGTGGGAGGCGAAATTGAACTATCTAAACATATTGCAGGCGGTATCGATGTAACGCTTGAAGTCTTTTTAGCTGACATAAAAGTATCATTATTAGATTCTACTCGTTGACTACTAGGTCGATCAGGTCGAGGTGCTTGAGGTCCCACTTTATAAACTGATGGTGTTGTAATAGGTGTACCAGAAAGTTTACGAGGTGGTGGAATTTTAGGTGATGTAGGTCTGGTTGGTATAAATTTTGGTGATATAGACTTATCTCTTGGCGGTAAAATTGAAACATTAAGTATCTGTGCAGACATAATTTCATCATTCGTTGATATCAATGAATTTGTATTGTGTCCGCCAGAATATAAGTTTCCATTTGACATTTTTCTTGGTGGTGGAATTGGCGAAGTTGCGCGATCCCGTAATGGGACAGATGATGAAGGCCTTCCTCGTGATGATGGTATCGGAGATGAGGGTCGTTCACGTGATGGAGGTATAGGAGATGAAGGTCGATCTTTTTGTATTGAATCTCTCAGAGGTGGAGTTGGTATTACAACATTCGATCCTCTTCTTGGCGGGACTGGCACAATATTATTCCTCGGAGAAATTGCTGATGGAGAATTAGTAAACGTTCTTGATGGTGACAAAATTCCATTATCTTTACCAGATGGTGAAGTCGCAAGATTCCTCGTAGATGGAGAATTTATTTCATCCTTATAAGAATAATTAATATTTACAGATAAAGAAGAATTAATCGAATTTACAGAATTAATCGATTCTTTTCCTGATCTTTGTGATCCATTAGAATCTTTTCTTTGAGGCATCATATTTAAATTTTTTTGTCCCGAATATACATCAAGTGAATCAGTAGAATTTCCATATTTATGTGGGTTAGAATATACTTTAACAGATCCACTTGAACTTTTTCGTTGAAGAGAATGAATTTTATTATATTTCGATCCAATAAAATTGTCATTTAATTCGTTTGATAGTCCATATGTAGAAGGACTTGAATATTTTCTAACCAATGGTATTCCTACGACGGAGGATTTTCGTGGTGGTAAATTATTTATCGTTGATGTTGGTCGGAAACTTTCTCCATTTTGTTGTGTGTTATGAGAACCCAGAGAAACAGATCGTTGATGTATAGTTGAATTATTTTGTCTTTTTTGATCATCTGCCATTCTTAATTGCATGACTTTTCGAAATGCTTCCGGATGTTGCCGTACTTCATCTTCAGTTATACCAGCTGATTCAAGCATAGATTTCCAATCTGAAGGAAGACCCTAAATTGAAAAATTATTTGAATTTCTAACTTAAATTTTATCTTTAAAGCAACATTAAATTTAAATATTTTACATACCACAAAACCATTCTCGTCAACGTCCACATGGATATTATGCTTAAAATTATAAGGTTGGCCTATGTTTTTACCAGTGATCTCAGTTGTATCTAAAAAAAAATGTATCAAATTAGTTAAATCTAAACATGAAATCCCACTAATCGCAGTATATAAAATTACCGGGTGAACCTGGACTTGGAACAAGGTTAGGATTGATGTATTTTGTATTTAATATTTCATCACTTGGTACTGTACTAGACCATACATCAGGTAACCCCTAAAAAGATATAAATATCATGAAAAATTAATTGATTAAAATAAATATATATCAATTCAATCAAAGGAACATGAGAGAGATATATATATATTATTTAAAGTATTGAA